CCCCTCGGCCCGGGGATTGAGGAAGGGCGGGAAGCCCGTCAGGCGGAGCGGCAGGAGGCGGAGGCGGGCCGGCAGCAGCGCTGGCTGCTGTGGAAGGCGTGAGTTGGCCCCAGGGCAGCCGGTGCCCCGCGCAGGGGAACCGCTGCCGGGGTGGGGCCCGGGCGGGGCCAGTCCCCGCTGGCCTTAGCCGGGAATTCGGCTCCAGTCACCTTTTGGGCTGGAGGGAGACGGGCGAAATGATGTTGCACACACGGCTGTGAAATCCCCAGCGGAGATACAGGGCCGGGGGCTCAGGTGCTACAAGTTTTGTCTAGATACAGGAAAAACGACCATCACCGAGGGCCTTGTGTCTAGCGCTCAGCAAACAAGGACTGAGTACAGGGATGCCTGAGCTCCTGCCTGGTGCAGCAATAATGCTCCACAGTTGGAAAGCAGGCCTAGAAAATTCAGTGCATTCTGTTGATTGGTTCCCATTTGCAACTTTAAGCAGATTTTTGAGACCATACATGGCTTATTTATTTCACGCCAAATCCCTGCCCTTCAAATCCAGTTGCTACATTAAATGAATGTCCTAGGCAGCTGCGTTTAACAGAGAACGGTACTGAAGAGCATCCTCATTTGCAATATAACTAAATGCTTGTTTTTCAAATAACCCAGCAAACAGCAGTTTATTAGTCCGTATTATTTCTCAGCTTTAAAAATCCAGGTAATCTGTTTTGGTCGAAGCACTGACCTAATTTGTTTAGCTACTGTTTAAATATTTTTAAATGTTTAGCACAGGAACAGACAAAACTGAGGACAATGCCAGTAGCCCAGCACATTGGTGCATCATGTGTTCCAGGACCAAGATATTCTTCTCCAAATAAGCCAGCATGCCAAAAAACTTTACCAAGGGGTACTGGAAACCAGCAAGTGGCAATGGTAACTCTCCCAAAGCCAAGCCATAGCTGATGTAGGGGTGTAAGCTGTCAAAAGCTCTTGGTTATTTTTTTTAACAGTCCATCTGGGTTGAGTTTATTATTTCTCTTTTTTTGTGGTGGTTTCTTTTTTCCTGTGAGATCTTGACTTTTTGGGCCATCTAGCAGACAGGACTGAGTTGCTAGGGGAGCTCTGTGCTATTTGCAGAGAAACCAAGTATTGTCCATTTGTACTTCAACCCTCGCATGCCAGTGCTCTTAGTAGCCAGATTTTTACCTTGCCTCATTTTGGGAAAGAAACTAATTTTCTTCCCTCCGGCTCCTGTTATCCACTGCTGCTTTGGCACAGCTGCCCCAAATCTTTCTGGGACATGAATTGTTCAGGTGAGAAATCTGGAGAGGAAATCTGTAGTTCATGGCTGACCTCTACTGTTGGCTCATTTTTTTGCTCTGTACATTGCTTTGTTGACAACTGCCTCACCCTGGGTGGTGAAAGCAGGGTCAGCCCTGAAAGCACTGTAGAAGCCTGAAGAGCCCAAGGGCCTCGGGGCTCTGTTATGGGTCTCAAAGGGTAAACCCTTCTAGGGATCATGCTGAAACCGCAAATTCCAGTAGTATTAAGCACTGAAAGAATAATTCGTGACTATTTCTTTGATAAATTTTATATTTTGTTTGTGGCAGTCTATTATGTTAGAAAACTAAATTTTATAGGCACTTTAGAGATTCTCCTCTTTAGATATTCTTTAACAGCAATGAGCAGCCCAACTCCTTGATTTGTGTTCAATCAGGTGCATTCCTTCTAAAGGGTTTACCTTTCTAGTCAGAGATTCTGGCATGGATGCTTTCTGTAGACATCCTGGCTAATAAAAGTTTCACACATATCTGTATGGGTTGATTGTCTAGATACTAGCAAAGAAAGATTAACAGACACTATGCTGAAGTCCTGTAATAGTCTTCATTTATGGCCCAAGTTATCTTTGTAAAAGTGTATTGTTTACAACTTAAAAGCAAGCTGTACAGACTGACCAGCAGAGGCTCTTTTCTTTGACTCCAGTGCCTACCAGGGCTACGACCCACTCTTGCCTGAGCTTTAATTCTTCTTTCTGTTGTATGCTATCCATGTGATTTGGAGGGAGCTGTTTCCCCTCTCCAGATAATAACTTCTTAGACAATGATGAATGCAAGTTCATTTTACAGTTACAGGCTGTAGAAACTATTGTGGGTCTCCCAGCCCACCTCCCACAGTTGGGTGTTTGCCAGAATATAAACAAGCCCTTAGTATCAGTTTGTTTCTCATATACATTGGACATAATTGGCCAATTGTGTGTCTATCTATTTGGGAATACCCAATATATTCACAGAGATAACAGTATGCAGAGATAATACATCTTCACATGAAGGTCAGGCATAAAAAAATGCTTGTGGTAATAGTATGTATCTAATACCCACAGGCTGCCTATTGTTCCTTTGTCTGGTGAGCAAAGAAATAGATACAGCCTCATACAAAAGTCAGAAGTCCTCACTCGAGTACTAGTTCAGATCTATTTTGAGAATCTGAGGCACAGAGGTATTAGAGAAAGAAGCTACAGGATTCTGAATTAATGTGTCTCCTGAAAAGACCCTCATCATAATTGTAAGATGTTTGTTTATACTCAAAGAGTATCTTCCTAGTTTCATTTCTAAAGCTAATCTCATACATTGGCCAGTGAAAGGAACCAAGGACTGGAGAACTCAGATGTTGCAATTGTCCAGGGGTTATAATATCCCAGAGCATAAGGAATATCTTCTTTTTCTCTTTGCACACATTTACAGATGAGCAAAAGTGTGCACCTTCCTAATGTGACAGAAGATAAGATAGCCCTGAGAGCAGGCTGATAGTGAAGAAATGACCATCTCATATGCAACTACAGTGTCTACAGCACTTTCTGATTTTGATCTAGTTATTGCACAACCACAATGAGCTGGGACTTCCATATCAGAAAAAAAATCTGCTTTGTCTTCCTTTTAGAGAATACGGTAGAAGAGGCTAGGATTTTAAATGGTAACTTACAGCATATGTTAGATGAGACATGCCCACATTTATCTGAATGTTATTCACATTAAATTGCCTCTTTAATTTCTACCTTTTTTTATATATATATTTTAGATAGCCTTAGTAATTGCATCTCATCGTATTAGTTATTGTCTGTTGTTTATTTTGCATAACTAGTAGTCTCACTGATGGAGAATGTATATGTGATTATATTGATTTTTTTCACTGTAAAACATCCTGAGACAATATATTGCTTCTTCTTTGTGAAGGGATAGCAGGTAGTTTTGATGTTGAGTTTTCTGTTGAAGGACAAACCACTGATCTGAAATCTGGTTTATTTTGTAATTAAACTTTATATTCTGTACGTCCAGTCTTGAAGAGAGGTTCACAAAAATAATCTCTTCCCACATCCTTTGCTCCTACACCAGTATGTGATTTCCAGAAAATGATCCGTTCCCCAAATGATCTCTTGTTGGGAAGGATAAAGAAGAGCACAAACTATTCTGTTCTTTAAAAATAACAAAGCTGCTGACCTCTCACTTTGTAAAAAGTAACTACAGAGAGAGCATTTCTGAACTGTGCTCAAATGTGAAGAATAAGGATTTCAAAACCGTTCATAATGAATTGTGTAACTAACAAATAGGGCCCATGGTCATTTCTATAATGCCAACATCTTTCAAAATTCATGCTTGTCTTCTATTACTGTTAGCATACACTCACACTGAAGCATGAGCATAGTTATTAAACAACAGTGGCAACACCAAAGTGGTATTGTGAATGAAATATCTCAAATGAAATAACTGCAGATATTTCTCAGCATATGTACCCTACAGGTGCTTTTCTCTGTCAAAAAAATCACATGTTTTCATTGACATCATGCTCAGCACATTTCCACTCTGATTTCTGTATAAGGAATTCTTGTTCCTCTCATTTCAGCCTCTGTCAGGTCCTTATGAGTAATTTTGTAATTCCAGGGCTTGGCACTTGTTTCTCACTGACGCAGAATTCACAGCATTACAGAGTCACTTTGCCATCTTTTTGC